CCCCCCCCCCCCCCAATCTGGGGTCTGCCTGGCACAGGATGACAGCCCCCACTGGGGGCTTTTTGCTCCACTGGAGCCCAGTTCATGGGGCTGATATCGGTTCAGCCTCAACCCCTCCCGAGCCCCCCACCTCTGAGAAGGGAGGTAGGTTAAGAGCAGGAACACACTGGCCTGGCACACCACCAGCCCCATCCCAGGCAGGGGTCTGCCTGATGTGGGTGATACAGGAAGGAAGCCCCCCCAGGAGCTTTTCATTCCTCCGCACCCCGGCTCACCGGGCTGGGATCAGCTAAGCTGTGCCCCCTCTCCAGCCCGTCCTATGAGAGGTGTGGGGTGGGGGCGGGGGTGCAAACACACCAGCCCAGCTGGACACTGGCCACCCTCATCCAGGGTGGCATGGGGCAGTAAATGCCCCCACTGGGAGCTTTTCCTAACCCTGCAGCCTGGCAAGCCAGGTGGGGATCAGCTCCATTCCCTCCCAGGGAGCAGGTGGGGCTGAGCCAATCCTAGCCTGGCTCACCAGGTTGCGGAGTTCTGAAAAGCCCCTGATGGGCATTTCACTGCCCCGTGATGGGCAGACCCATGCTGAGGGGTGAGGCTGAGCGACCAGGAGGGGATGGGGCTGAGCTGATCCCCGCCCCACAAGCCAGGCTGTGGGGGAATGAAAAGGCCCAGGTAGGGGCTTCTCTGCCACTGCACTGGGCAGACCTTGGCTGGGGGCTCTGTACTGTGCCCAGCTGGCTCTGTGCTTTAGCTCTCCAGTCCCCCATCTCTGACAGGAGGGGGCTGGGAGAGGGTAGGGCTGAGCTGATCCCAAACCCGTGAGCTGGGCTGTAGGAAAGCAAAAAACCCCCATGGAGTCTCCCCCGTGCCAAGCAGAATTGGGCTGGGGGGGGAGCAATGCCGGGAGGAATTCCCCCCACCCTCTCTGACAGGCATGGGGCTGGGGAGGGAGTGGGGAGCTGAGCCAATCGTAGCCCAGCTAGCCAGGCTGTGGTGGGAGAACGCCCCCCCATGGGGGCTTCTCACACCAGGCAGACCCCAGTTGGGGAGCCAGGGCCGCGTGGTGTATTCTCCTCCCCACCCCTGTCTCAGAGGTGGGGGCTGGGGAGAAATTTTCTGCTGGCTCTCCCCCCTCTGTAGCTGATAGCGGGGTGTTGGGGGGATGGGGGCATGGGTCAAGCAGCCAAACAGGTCTGGGCTGCCACTGGGCTGGGTTTAGCAGCCTTAGGCAGCTGGCCATGAAAAGTGGTGTGCGAGAGTGCCCTGAGCCTCCCAGCCTGGGCAAGCCAGGCTTCTGCCTGTCTTGGCCACCCAAACACTACACATCAATTCAGTTTGTTATTGGTTCTAGCTACACAGCTTAGAAAAACCTGTGAAGAATGAACTGATTCTGCTCTGGGCTTTTTGAACCTCTGCACTTAGCCCTAAGGTACAAGTCAGTGAAGCCACCTCTTAAAAGAACTCAATAAATCATTTCTTAAAAGACTAGTTATTAGTCAATTTTCTGAAAATTTTCTTACACGTATGTGATTAAGGGACTGATTTGAGGGGGGGAAAGGTGCTGTGGAGCTAATTATTGATTTTACCTATGCAGATCAAGAGTATACATATACAAATAGAAATGTGTGCAAGCAATTGTTAATTTATATATAAAGGTATGTCATTTATACATGAAGTCATGTTAGTACACAGAAGCAGTTCCTGCCGTGGTATTTCATTTTGCAACTGACTTTCTGAAAAAAATCAAACACTAAATATTTACGTCCAGTGTTTAAGCTACTGTACCCGTGTGGTAGAAATTTAAAGGGCAACATATAATTTACATGAAGTTATATCTGTGTGTATGTGAAAGTTCATATACGCATACAGCCTTTCAGAACACAGTCTTCATACATAGGTTGGACTGAGTCACATTACCATTGGTCAGATTGGTATGTGTAACTGGTTTACAGATGTATGATTTCAGCCTCACCATCTACCACAATGCATGAAAATGAAACCAAGTTCAAAGAATATATTTTTAAATACTATTTAAGTTTCAGGTTTATAATAATTATAATGGATTAACAGTCATCAGCTTTCTTTTGTTCTCACAGTGTTACAGCTCCCATTGGCATCAGAAAGAGCACAGACTTCTTTAGACTCCATAATCCCGAATGACTAAATAACAGCAAAATTAAATTGTCAGTAACAAGTATAAAGCAGGGATGATCTTCAAATGATATTTTTGGCTAAGAAAGTCTAAGGGAAACCAACAGTTTTACCATGAAGCTGGAGGCCCTGGCCTGTTATATATTTGAGAATGTGGGCACGTGTGCAGGCGTGGGCACATGCATGTGTATGTATGAGCGTCTGTGTCTGCATGTTTGTGGTTTTCGGTGTAACACTATATAAGAACATTACATGTATATTCATATATACATTATTAAATATTTGGTAGCTGTGTTGGTCTGAAACAAGAAGACATACAAAAAAACTAGAACTCTTGGCTCCAAAATGATACCTTTTATTAGACCAACTGGGAACTCACAAGAAAACTGTCCTTTTCTGCAAGCTTTCTTGTGATTTCTTGCCAGTTCCCAGTTGATCTAATAAAAGGTATCATTGTGGAACCAAGAGTTCTAGTTTTTTGTATGTCTTATTAAATACTTGCATCAAGTTCCAAGTGATCTCTGATTTGTGATCTCTCACACACAAGTTCACACATACATATACATACACACACCAGGGATCAAGCCTGAAAGAAACTCAGGGCCTTCAACTCCCACTGAAATCAATGAGAACTGAAAGTAATTCAACACCTTTTCAAAGAAACTTACACAACAGGACCCCACATGCTATTGTATTGATATGGAAGGACAGAAGAAAAACAAAATAGCTCAAGAGCAACACATATTTAGTTACTGAAACTATAGAGAAGGGTTTAAACCACTTACAATTATTGAAATACGTTTCTTTTTTAAAATATCTAGGGATACCCCAAATATTTTGGTAGTCTAGCTCATGTTAAGGAATATCATTTTTTAAAGAGCCATTTAACTTCCTTCCATAGAAACACTGGGCCTGATTCTGCCTTTCACTCAGCATTGCCACTGAGGTCCAAGATAATTCCATGTGCAGAGAACCTGCTGACCGGGATCCCTGGGGTAATCTCACTCTTTGCTGCTATAAATTATTAAACCAAAATAAATGCTTCAACTTTCAGCCAGGGTTAGAGATATCACTATATGTGTCAGAGAAATGAATCCCTCATTATTTGTAGCATTGTCTCTTCCTGAATAGTTGTGTCTGTCTTTCTAAGTGTTTGTCACACATTTTAAAAGGTTGGTGTCAAAAGCATGAGGCCAAGCATATTGAAAACTAGGATGCTTCAGGGTTTCAGTATAAAACAGTGATCACCCAAGAAAGAATTGCACAGCTTGCCTTCACTAAATAGATCAGTTGCATCCATTTCAGTAGAATTCCTGATACACAATAAACTTTGAAGCAGGTTTTCCGTTGGTATAAACTGTTTTAGCTCCACAGTTCCTATGAGAGAATAATTTGGCCATCATAAGCAATGTTTCTAACTTACAGCCTTGCATTGAATGCGACTACTGGCTTTTTAAAAGATGACCACAACATTTTGTAAAATGCAGCCCTTGGAGTTTGTATGATCGAGTGTCAGCTCAGTTCCCTATGGAATCAGCATATAGGGTTATTTACCTGCTTTTAATTAAATTAATATTTGTTCCAACATGAAGTACTATGTGTTGAGTCACTGTATAATAGCATGAGTTATGCCTTTCTTTATGAAAAATAAGGATAGATTTAAAAAAGAGAGTCCTAAATACTCCTAGTACCTGGGGAGCAAAGAAATCCTAACATATATCAACTTGTCAATAAACATGCTTTTAAACATGCTTTTTAACTAAAATTAAAATACAACATGCACTCCTATCTGAAGCAAAGCTCACAATGGAATGATACAATGCTTTTACTACTCAACAAAATGTTTTTCTTTCCAAATCTTTCATTTGCCTCCTTTATGAAAGGTTAACCACATCTGTCACTGACTCAGCATTTAGCAGTTGCAATATTAAAACCATCTTTGGTGTGTGCAGTGTTTCCATCAGAGTGTCTAGTACTATTGTATGATCAACT